GTCCACTGAGAGTAGCTGGGCATCTTTCTTAGAACTTTAGCCTTTGGGCTTCAGAGCAGTCAGCGCTGACGGGCTACATTTACAGAGGGATGGTGGAGGACTGGAAAGGAACGTCAAGTCACACCAGCGAGCACGTAACAAGCACGTACCGTGCGGCACGCACACGGGAAGAATCAGTCTATCAAAGGAGCCGTTACCTTCTTCAGACCCGTGGACTCGTCCTCGATGTCGTCGGGCAGCAGGACGAGCATGCTGAGCTCCTTGCCCTGGTAGGGCAGCTCCAGCACTCGGCACCGAAGGTCCTCGATGTAGCCGTATGGAAATTTTTTCTTCTGATACATCATTTTCACTGTTTTTGTGTCTTTCTGAATGGTTTAAGAAAAAAAAATCACTGAAATTATTCTTTCCATTCTTCTGGCGCAGAGAGTGATTTTGGACCTCACCTCACCTTATTCAGTCTGAACGGTGTATCTTCCGTGGCCTCTTTCGTGAATTTCTCCTGCCAGTTTCCCTTGAAATAGACGGCATTCACCAGCACAAGTTTAGTCATGTTATCCACCACACCTGCAGCCAACAGTTCCGGAATTTTCCCTAAAAAATAAAGTAAACTTTTAAAAAAAATCCATATTGGAATTCCAAATTTGAACTGACAATTTATTAGCACTGAAATGCAATTCAAACGTAAACTTTCTACCTCATTTTCATTTAACACAATATTAAGTTAGGAAAGCCCTGCTGGCGTGTCTCTAGACAAACCAACCTGGGAGACAGACCCTGACGACACACAACTGCCCCACAGGAGCCAACGCTTTAAACAAACCGAATGTGCTAAAAGGCTAAAGACAGGAAAATTCGCCTTTTCTGGACTGTATGATAAACAGCGAGCTTTATTTTGTAAACGGCCTTTCTTTTTAAGAAAAAGGTTCTTAAGCAAAATGTTTTTAGTCGCTAGTAAATCACTTCTTCAAATCTGCTGGGGATATGCGCGCTCTCACAAAAAGAGATTTTAACAAATAGGCCCCCGGCACAGCCAGGAACAATCCCGCAAAGGCAGACGGGCTCCTGGGGGTGCTGCCTCCCTGGGTGAGTGAGAGGGAGGGAGGGAGCCCCAAGAGCGGGTCAGCCCCACGCACCGCGCCTCACCCACTGGGCGAGATGTGGCAAACAGTATTTACGACTACGGCAGTTCACGAATTCTGATTTTACATATTCCATGAAATTCCTGGACATTTCTTTCCACATGTGTATTGAATAATTCTCAAAATTTTTACTCCTTATAGTTGACATTCAATGTTGGTTTTAACTTTAAAATGTAGCTCTGGGGAGCTTCTGGAGGAAACAGTATTCAGTTGCTTCAGTTAAATCGTGTGCAAGCCGCCACTCCCACAGGTTTCTGGCACCGCGCGGCAGAGCTCGCCCCGAGCACCGGCCAGGTCGCGGGGCGTGGAGAGGCAGCGGCAGGTGGGGACAATGACAAGGAGAGGCAGCCGCAGGTGGGCGGGACGGCGACAAGGAGAGGAGGGAGCCCGCGGAGGCTTCCACGCTGCCAGGCTCTTACCTTCCGTCTGCCCTTTGACCCACTGGTTAATGGCTTTCCTGGCGTCTTCAGAGGCGTGCTGAAAGTCCACGCTGGCCAGCTCCGCACCGTACGTTTTCTGAGTCGAAGCCAAGAACTCCTATTTTTTAAAAAATGTCATGAATAACTCCCACCACACACAGAAATGGTTTTCTAAAATCCCTAAAAGCAACAGAAATCATCCTAAATTAAGGCTACATTTCACTGTGACACAAAAATTCCAACCTTTATATTTTTATTTATTGTGGTAAAAAACACTGAACATTAAACTTACTATCTTAACTAATTAAAAAAAAATTTTTTTTAACCTCTACTTTCCGGGAGCCAGTATCTTAACTAGTTTTAAGTGTACATTTCAGCAGAGGTAAATCTAACCCTCCTACTTCAGTGTTATATAAAATTTCCCAATCCTTTTATAACCTGTGACTAACATTTTCACAAAATCAGCAAATACTGATTGTACTTGGAAGTGAATCCTGGGATCCACTCTTCCTTTGGGAAACCTCCTGGAGCAATCTTTTCAGTGCAAAGACTGGAAAACAAACCCCCACATCAATCCAGGGGGACTGTCTGTCGTGCGCTTGCACTCGGCATTGCTGTGCCGAACGGCGGCAGGTGCCACAACGGGCTCCTGTGACGTGGTCGTGCTGTCCGACGCCTGCACTGTCTAGTGGAGTGTTAGAATACCAAGTGCAAAGTACTTACAGGGAGGAAATTATACGTTTTCTCTCCATACAATCTATTAGCAAGTTTCAGAATATAGGACGCTCCATGTTTGTTGATATCAGCATGCAGACTCTGAAATCTTGAATGAATCTCCTCAACCGAATCGAAATGAAAAGTCTAAAATACAGAAAACATTCGTTCTGCAACCATTTATTTTGAAATTATAAAGTGATTCTTTGGTTTGCATCTATCAAATTAAATTAATGCGCTTTCATTACCAATTGCCAGTGATCTCCAGCCCAATACTTCATTAATTTGTCACTGGAGAACACACAATAGGGAACCCAAAATTTATAGCTTTGGGAGACATAATTGTTACCACATTAGAAACTGCTTTTACATCATTACTTTTTTGTTATAATCAGTCCCACGAACGTGAGTAGTTAATACACTAAATATTTATACCTCTGTTACTCTGTTAGCACTGGGTACTCACTTGTTTAAAAATAACTTCTTTAAACTTAACACTCTGGCAAAAGCTTAATTCCCCACCTATGGCCCTTTATGGTTTTATGAGGCCTGGACGCTTTCCTTGTTATTAAGACACAAAGAACAAAACTGTACAGAATAGAAAGTCCAGGTTGCTCACTGAGATAAGGAATGTTACATTGTTACTAACATCCATCTGCTTTAAAGGAAACGGGAGAGGGGCAATCCTTAAAACTATTCTTTGCTGAGGTTATAAAGTCCCCGGAAAGCCTCGGGGTAGGAGCTGATATAATCTTGCAAGAAGCAACTAACAATTAGTATGAGTGGTTTTTAAAAGAGTGGATTTTTAAAAACTTTAAAATGCTTTCGTATGAGCAGTGATGAGTAATGGAAGCTTTGCAGCCTCTTGAACTTGAATCCAGAGCTGCACCTTCCCCGGGAACAGATGCAGGGTCATTTGTGGCAGGTGTGTTAGGAGAACCTCCACTTTACCACGACTCTCCGCTGGGCTTCAAGAGGAAGCTAGAGTTCCCCTCTCAGCATGAAAGAGCACCAAGCACAGAGGCCCCCTCCACGCCCATTAAGGACGGGAGGGAAGGCTGGGCACGAGAGTACGTGCCACACGGCCACGGGCCGGGTCCTTCTGAAGCTGCTGGGCCTCCCTGCGCCCCTCCCCTGCAGGGCCCACCTGCCCGCACAGACAGCCCCGCCAGGTCCCACAGAGCCACACACAGCGCCAGGCTTAGGGTCAGGCCCTGGGAATACAGAACCACAGGGTGGCCTTCTTCCTTGTCTCCGCAAAAAGGCAATGCCACCAACGTCTCCACTGTGGTGTGTGCCCTATGTCTCATGACTCTCATTATGCTCGAAGGCGACGCTACATAACAGGCATTATTTGTGAGTCACAGATCATCACATGCAAAGCAAAAACCGGAAACTACTCGCTCAGGAGAAAGTTCTGTGGCTTACGGAAAAGCTGTCAGATTCACCCACTGTGTGGCTTTGTTCACTGCTGTAGCCTCAGCAAAACAAAAACCAGTACCCGGCACATAGCAGGTGCTCAGTAAGGACGCGATGATGAATGAAAGCCTACGGACAAATGCATTATTCTAGGGGCTTTCCTGAAAGTCCGACCTTAGAATGTGTTAGCAGGCAGACGGCAGGGGGAGCAGACCTTTTTTGTTTGTTTCTGCTGACCTTGGACAGTTGTGCTGCAGTGTTGCCTCTGGTCCCCAGAAGGATCATGGCCATTGCGGACGAAATGCTGAAGGGGGAGATGAAGACGTTTCCAGTCGGATTGTTTTCATTCAAGGCGCGGAACAGGTCCAAGGCGAAGCGGGTGTTTGCTGTGCTCAGCTGCTCCATGGCGAAGGCTGCGACACAGAGCACAGGTCCCAGGCTGCCCATCGCCCACACCACGAAAACAGGCAGCACCTTTCCCCAATTGCCTCAACTTGTGCCAACTGCTCCGGAACACCCTGGAACTTGTACTTTCTCCCCTCTTTTTTTTCCAGGAGGTTCCAGAACACTTTCCTATGCACACAGTGTGGACCAAGCTGGTCAGCGATTCAGCAGGAACACAAGATCAGCACCCAGGGTGTCCTCAAAGGCTCTGACCTTGCACACAGGTGGGTCTGAGAAGAGGCCCAGGCCCAGGCCGCCCCGGCAGTGGCACAGCCGCCCAGCCCTGGTCCTTCCACCCTACTGAGTCTGCGAGCCTGCCATTTCTCACCCTTTGGCTCGAGGGTTCATTGGACAATGAATCCACTGCCTACATTTACCTGAAACCTTTCTATCGGATCACGGCTACCTATTCATTAAAGCAAACTCCAGCAAAGATATAATTGATAATATAATTATCCTCGTTTCTGAGATTCAGTCACTTATGTTTAAGAGGTCAAGTGTCCAGTGGTGGCTTAGGGTGTGCGCGTCTGGAAACCCAGCACGGTCCAGCATGGGGAAAGCCAGCCGGGCAGGGAGATGGGGACAAGTGTCCTCCGTCACTGCAGAATCCCAGCTTGGCCACCCACTAACCCATCTTGATCCCTACTCTCAGAGCCTTAACTTCCCCAAGAACAGGCAAAAAAGAATAGCTGTGCTGGCTGCTCAGCGTGCAGGTATAAAGCTGAATTCTTGTTGCTGATCAACAATCTCTAGGACAGCACCGGCCAACTCCTTTCCGTTCCGGCCCGAAAGGAGACGCGGCTGGCCCTGGGGCTGCCTGGAAACTGTCACAAACAGCTCCGGGAAGAAGGGGATTCAGGAAGAAAGAAAAGCTTTCTGCTCTCAAGTTTCGGTCGTGCCTTCCGCCTGCACCCGCCGTCCTCCCTCCCGCCCTAGCAAGCCTGGCCTGGCGCCCCGGCAGCGGCGAGGGGGAGCCACGGTCGCGGGGCGCAGGGCCGGGGCTGCGCGGGCGGGGGCGGGGGCCGGGCCTCTCCCTCTCCCGCCGCCTCACCGCCGGCCCAGCCCGGCTCACCTGCGGCGCAGAGGCGGACTCCGGGTTCCGGCTGGCTGTGAGGTCTGGGGGACGCGCCCGCGCCCGCAGCCCTTATTGAGTGCGGAAGGGGAGTGTCGCCCGGCAGGCAGAGCGGGGCGGGACGCAGGCCCTTTCCCTAGGGACTGCCTAGGGGCCTGGGCTGCCAGGGCTGGCTACGCAGAAGCAGAGGGAGCGTGGACTCCATGCAGTGCCCTCCCAGGGGATGGCAAGGACCTGTAACTATTTCTTACTAAGGCGTGAATGACTGAATGAGTGAGATGATATACTGTGTCATGGTCTTAGAAGGCAACCAATTCTCCTGTTCCTTTGCTTGTTTGTTTGTTTTGTTTGAGAAGCGGGTTTCGCTATGCTGACCTGGCTGGACTCAAACTCCGGGGTTCAAGTGATCCTCCTCCTCAGCTCTCTGGAGTAGCTGGGACAAGTTGCCCCACGCCCGCTTAGTTCCCTTTTGAGTCCCATCTACATACTCCAAACTCTAGGGAGCTTTTTTTGCGAGGGAGGGAGGAAATTTGAGCCTCTTGCATAGGGAAAAAGGAGGCCTCCAGGATAAGATAAAATGATCAATTCCAAACACCTGTGCTCCACTTCCAAGATGGCATCTTGCTGCTGCTGCTGCTGCTGCTGCTGCTTCAGTGCGAAGCCTCCTCCATTAACATGAGGGCCTAGTCCCAGTCTCCAGGGAGCTGCCCTCATGACCCGAAGGCCCCACCTGTTAATACTGTTGCATTGGTGATTATCTCAACCTGAACTTTGGGGGGAACACAAACATTCAGATCATAGAATTCTGCCCCTGCCCACCCCCCGAATATATCCTTTGTACATACAAAATATATGCATTCCATCCCTTTAGCCCCAAGAGTCTTAACTAGATCTGGCATCAACTGCAAAGTCTAGGTCCAAAGTGTCGCCTACATATCATCTAAATCAGGCATGGGTGAGACTCGAGGTAAGATTCATCCTGAGCCAAACTGTCGTCCAGCCGAGAGCCCGTAAAACCACACATGTGCTTCCGGAACACGGTGGTGGGACAGGCAGAGCACAGGCACCCCCTTCTAAAAGGAGAAATGGGAAAGAAGAAAGGAGTAACAGGTCCCAAGTAAGCCCCAAACCCAAGGCAAGTGACATTAAATTTCGAGGCTTGAGAATATCTTATTTGACGTCATGTCCCACCATCTGGACACACTGGGGTGAAAGCTCCGGGCCCCCACCCGTGGATCCGGCAGGCACAGTGCAAGCCAAAGCTCTCACAGGCCGAGTCCGCTGACCGCGGCTCTCCCACACTGGCCAACTTGTTGGTGTCTCTACGGTTCTGGGGTCTTGGGGGTGGTCCTGCCCCACAGCTCCACTAGACAGGACCCTAGTGAGGACTCTCTGCAGTGGTCCTCTTCCCATGGCTCCACTAGGCATCGCCCCAGTGGGGGCTCTCTGCAGCAGCCCCCCACCCCCGCTGCAGCTCTCTGTCTGAGACATCCTTTGACATGTGGGCGGAGGCAGCCTCACCTCCACGGCTCACGCGCTGTGTGTGCCTGCAGAGTAGTGTCGCGTGGCCGCTGCCAGGGTTTATTGGAAGGGCAGCCGGAGCCACACAAGGGCCTGCGTAAGCCACACCTGGGGTGGCCAAGGAGCGCTGCACCGGAATGTGGGAGCAGAGACTTGGGGTGGCCCCGGGCAGCAAGCCCCAAGGTTCCATGGCGCCCCAGGTTCTGCCCTCGAGGTCTGTGGTGAGAGCGGCAGCCCCAGGAATCCCTGACATGCCTCCAGGGCCGTTCTTCGATGGTCCCCACGAACAGCATCGGCTTCCCTCTGTCCCTACTCGTCTCTTTCCCAAGCATCAGCTCGGCCACACCCTTGGTGCTCTTTCCCAAATGCCCCTTTTCATTCCTTACATGGCCAGACTGAGAACTTTCTGAATCTTTGAAGTTCTGCTTTCCTTTTAATCACAAATTCCATCTGTAATTCATTCTCTCTGCCCACATTTTACTACAACCAGTCAAGAAGAGTCATGCTGCACCCTCAACACTGCTCAGAGATTTCTTCCACCAAATATCCTGGTTCATTGCTCGCAAGTTCTGCCATTCACGAAGCACTAGGACGCAGACACAGTTCAGCCAAGTTCTTTGCCACTTTAAAGCAAGGATGGCCTTTCCGCGGTTTCCAGCGCCTTGTTCCTTTCCATCCGTGATCTCATCAGAATTGTCTTTATTGCCCTCTGTATTTCTACCCATGTTCTGAGCGTGACCACTTAGGGAACCTCTAAGGAGATTTAGGGTCTCCCTGCAGCTCTCCTCGTCTTCTCGGCCCTCACCAGAATTTCCCTTGATGCTCCATTCACAGCAAGCCAGGCTCTTCTAGCATCGTCCTCTGAACTCTTTCAGCCGCGGCCCATTACCCAGTTCCAAAGCTGCTTCCACATATCTGAGAATTTGTTACAGCAACACCCCATTTCTCAGTACCAATTTTTGTCATGGTCCACTTGTATTGCTATAACTAAATACCTGAGGTTGAGTAATTTATAAAACACATACATTTATCGCTCACAGTTCTGGAGGCTGGGAAGTGCAAGATGAAGGTACTGACAGATTCGGCGTCTGGTGAGGGCTGCTCTCTGCGTCATAGCTGGTGCCTTGTTTTTTTTTTTTTGAGACAGAGTCTCGCTCTCTTGCCTGGGCTAGAGTGCCGTGGGGTCAGCCTAGCTCACAGCAACCTCAAACTCCTGGGCTCAAGCGATCCTCCTGCCTCAGCCTCTGGAGTAGCTGGGACTACAGGCATGCGCCACCATGCCCGGCTAATTTTTTCTATTTTTAGTTGTCTGGCTAATTTCTTTCTATTTATAGTAGAGACGGGGTCTCACTCTTGCTCAGGCTGGTCTCGAACTCCTGAGCTCAAGCGATCCTCCCGCCTCAGCTTCCCAGAGTGCTAGGATTACAGGCGTGAGCCACCGCGCCCGGCCTGCATAGCTGATGCCTTGTTGCTGTGTCTGAAGGAGACAAACACTGTGTGCTCAGGTGGCGGAAGGGATGGAAAGGAGCAAGCCCACTCCCTCAAGCCCTTTTATAAGTTATAAGGTCCCTAATTCCACCCATGAGGGCTCTGTCCCCATGATTTAATCACTTTTTAAAGGCTCTACCTCTTAATACTATCACACTGGTGACAAAGTGTCAACATATGAATTTCAAGGGGACACAGTCAGAGCATAGCATATCTCTTCTGCCACGTGAGGACTCAGCGTTTGTGCCTTCTGCCTTTTCTACCATGCGAGGATGCCACAAGAAGATGCCCTCACCAGACACCAAATGTGATAGTGCAGACTCAGCCCACTGCTCTTGGACTTCCCAGTCTCCAGAGTCGTGAGAAATAAGTGTCTATTATTTATAAGGTATTTTGTTACAGCAGCAGGACCAGACTAAGACAGGGGCTCTTCTCAAGAAGACAACTTTGTCTTCATCCCTCTTGCATGGGGGTGGGGTGGTGTGTGTGTGTGTGTGTGTGTGTGTGTAGACACTGCCACATCACTTCCCCCACCTTGCTCTACAGCAATGAGAGGCAGCAGTCCTCTAAGTGTTTTCCTTATTTTCTTTTGAAGTGGAAGATTGGAAAATTCCACTAAAGTGGAATTCTTAGAAATTCCACTAAAGTGGAATTCTTAGAAATTCCACTACCGGGCTTCTTTTTCCTTGTGATCCTTACCTGGGCCCCCTCCTCACCTGCTACCTTCCCCTCATAAATCACCTGTAGCAAGTAGTGTACCAGGTTGTAAATATAGCTCAGGACCCTGCCTCACTAACGTTAACCCTGTTGTAGCCGTGCCCCTCCTCCTCAAGCAGAGTGTATAAAAGACTGCAATGCTCTTTGTCTGCTGCTCAGAATTTGGGGAGAGCAAATGCCCCTCTGAGCCTTGCTGGCCGGCACATAAAACCTGTATTGCCAAAATCTCTGTGTGTGTCTCTCGGTCTATTCTCGGTCAGCCCTTCCGTGACACTCTCACCTGAAATTATTCCTGAATTATTCCTCTTGCCCCCACTCCTGAAAGTAGCAGTGATGTTTACTCTCAGACTTACCTTGATCTTCAAACAAGCTGCTACTGATCACCTAAGAAACTCACAAACATCTTGAGATTTTTTTTTTTCTTCTTCTTCAAAAGTAGCT